TGTGCAGTGACCTGCAACTGCATTTGCATACCCTTTGCAAATAAATTACTTGTGACTATTCTTTCCCTTCCCTGGTGCTTCCCACATCCTTTTGTGTAGTTCCCTGGAATAATCCATCTTTGGTTCCCTTTGTTTGCAAACAATCCTTCATAGCACTTAATGCAAAGAAGGAAGCTGGATGTGTGATGGGGAGGAGTGTCCCTCAGCCTCTGAAGGCTGTGAAAGTTGAGTCTCAGCCAGAGGTTTGGACTAGTCAGTATGAAGGACTGACACCCCTGAGCATCATCATTTATTTACCTCTCTGTCTCAGTTGAACGAGACTGAAGTGTTTTGCTAAGGAGTATGAGTTATGAGGAAGAACAAGCTCTTCCCTCTAAGCAATTGTAAATCCAAAATTAAGGGGCTTCAACTGAGGAAGTATGGAGAAAAAAGAAAATAACAACCCTTTATTGGAGGATATATGTGTATTGGCAGAACAACAAAAGAACACAAAACCAACCAAACAATAATCCTGCACCCAAAAATCCCTTTCAAAAAGGAAATAGTTCAGTACTTTCTGCCTTTTGGTGCAATTCTAACCATGGTCAGCAGGGGGTGCTGTTGGGCTCTGGCAGTCCCCTCATGGAACCCTGGTGCACGGGAGAAGTCGAAAATGGAGATTTTCCCCACCACCACCAAGAAGAAAAAGAGGAAAAGGGGAAAAAAGGGGACTCTTCCCACGAAACTCATACTGTCTGCTGCTGGCTGTGGCTGGGATTTCCCCCCTTTTGTCAATGGACTCATGCTGCTACCAACACAGGAGCAGAGGAGGGAAAGGGTGACCTCCTCCCCAGAAGGTTCCTCTGCAGATGGGTCAAGCTTCTCCAATGAAATCCGAGCAGATCTGGGCTGGGGGCATATAAGAAATAAATAACCTGATTTTATTATAAACAAATGAACTTAGTAGAAAGACAGAACGGGGTGTGGTTTCTTTTACCCAAGGGGTTTCTTTTTTAGGCTTACCACAGAATCTGTAAGGTGGATGGTCCTGTCTGGACCTGACACCAGGGAACCTTTTGCAGCCGAGAATAGGGAAAATACAAAAATAAAGATGCATCCTCTCTGCCATGCGGCAGCCTAATGTGTACTGGGGGACCCCCCTGGACCTGTACGTCACAATCAATCAAGAGAAAGGGTAACACTCCCTTCTGGGTCAGAGAAATTACCTTTTAGGTAAAAAACTGGCAATCAATGAATATGTAACAGCTTATGTAACCAAAAGAATACAAAAGACGTGGTTTTCAAATGGTTGGGGTGCTTCCAGACCCTTGTGATCTTGGAGTACCCAGTGCGCTGCAATAAAAAAACTTCTCGCTACACTTTCCTTGTCCTACAGGTATTTTTACTGTCCTTCTAAATCTAAAGGAGGAATTTTTCCAACAGTTTTGGGGTCTCGTCCAGGATCCAATGTCCAGAGGCTCTGGATTGGGGGTCCAATGTCCCAGGACGGCACGTCCTGCTGATTTTTCGTGGTCCAGCGAGGGGGACCCTCTTTTCAGGTCGACTGTGGCGGAGGACCCTAGGACAGACGACTGTGGAACAAGGAAAACAGGAGAAGAAACAGCCGGTTTAGAAATTAAAAGATCGCAGCACCGTTGAGGTTTATGCATAAAAACCCACTAAGACACAAAGGGGCTATTTTAATTCTTAGTGGGCAGATTGGGCAACGGGAGTGCGCGTGTGTGTGGATGAGACCCACCAAAAGGTGCGAGGTGAGAGCAGAGTTCTTTTAACTGCGGTTTCACTTCTTCCACAAGGAAAGTGGTCAGTGACAGAACAAAGCAACTGTTGAGAAGTGAGAACCGAATACTCATCTGGATGGAAACAGGGGGGATAAAAATCGGGAGTGACCAGGAGAGAGTTACAGTATAAAATTCGCCAGGTTCCGGGGGGGAGGCAAGGGAAAAGACAGTTGAAGCGGCGGCATTTGGGTTTTGGTTTTCAACCAGGCAGTGGGCAGTCACGAACTGTCCCAGGGCAGGCAGGAGAACAAAGAAATAAAAGTAACGGCAGCAGCAGAAGAGGTGGTATTCAGGTTTTGGCTTTGAACCAGGTGGTCCCGGGCAGAGGCAAGATGGAAAGAAAGATGAGTGTGTCCACATGTCTGAGGCTCAGCCTCTGGGAGGTGGGGTTTCCTGCTGCATAACTGACAGGAGTTGGGCCAAGGTGGGCACAGCCTCTGGGGGGCAGGGTTTCACCACATAACTGACAGGAACTGGGTTGATGCTCAGCCCCTGGGGGAAGGGGGTCCGCCGCATAGCTGACAGGCTCTGGACCAAGCACAGCTCAGGGGGAGCAGGGTTTCGAGGCAAGTGCTGAACAAGTACAGCTTTGAATTTCAAGTTCAAGTTGTAAGGAGTATAGGGTCCTGAAAGGACAAAGTCCCTGATCTGGGATTTATCTATCAAGTACACTGTTAATCTACGCCTCCATCATGTAACAGTTTGTTTTCTTTTTTCTTCCCTGAATGGTAATAGTATATTAATAACACCAAATCATTTCTAATATTTTATTAGTTTATTTTTTTTCTTTTGTGAAAGTGTGATCCAATTTTGAGATTTTTTTCGAGTTCCACTGTGTTTGTGTGAAATAGTGTAGTCTTAAAAATTGTATGAGCAGGCATTGTTGTAATGGGTGGTGGAGGAAGTAAGAAAACTGTAGGAAAGAAAGAAAAGAAAAAGTCAGAAAAAATACCTAGTATTCCACATGACTCCCCCTTAGGTACAACTCTCAAGGATGAAGGACTACTGCCTCCCTAAGATCATGCTTTATGGTGAACTTACCACCGGCTACCGCAAGACAGCAACCCCAAAGAGAAGATACAAGGACTCCCGGAAACATCTCAGCCTTGGTCATATTGATCAACATAACTGGTCTACTCTGGCCTCCAACTGGGAGGTCTGGAGATACACTATCTTTAACGCTGCTGATGCTTTTGAGAAAGTACGCAGGATAAGTTGGCAGGGCTGATCAGGAGGGCTTTAAACTAGGTTTGAAGGGGGAAGGGGTTGAAACTGGTCTCTCCAGAAAGGAGCCCAAGGGTGGACAGCCCAAGTTAAGAGTCAAATCAACAGGCCATCCGAAGTGAATGTACACCAACGCACACAGTATGGGTAACAAACAAGAGGAGCTGGAAGCCATCGTGCAGCAGGAAAGTTGTGATGTAGTCACTATCACGGAAACATGGTGGGATGACTCGCATGACTGGAGTGCTACCATGGGTGGTTACAGGCTCTTCAGAAGGGACAGGCAGGGTAGGAGAGGTGGAGGGGTAGCTCTGTATGTTAGAGAGTCTCTTAACTCTGTAGAAGTTGAAGTCAGTAACAATAAGGTTGAGTGCCTGTGGATCAGAATCAGGGGGAAGGCCAACAAGGTTGACATCCTGGTGGGAGTCTGTTACAGACCACCCAATCAGGATGATGAGGGTGATGAACTATTCTACAAGCAGTTGGCGGAGGTCTCAAAATCGCCAGCCCTTGTTCTCGTGGGTGACTTTAACCTGCCAGATGTCTGCTGGTAACTCCACACAGCAGAGAAGAGGCAGTCTAAGAGATGCCTAGAGCATATAGAGGATAATTTCCTGCTCCAGCTGGTAAATGAGCCTGCCAGGGATGGAGCCCCGCTAGACCTCCTGTTCACAAAGAGAGGGGCTGGTGGGAGATGTGGTGGTCGGTGGACGTCTGGGACACAGTGATCATGAAATAATAGAGTTTTCAATACTCAGGGATGCAAGGAGGGCCGTCAATAAAACCTCTACGCTGGACTTCTGGAGGGCAGATTTCAGCCTATTCAGAAGACTAGTTCAGAGTGTACCCTGGGAAACAGCCCTTGAAAACAAAGGGGTCCAGGAGGGATGGACGTACTTCAAGAAGCAAGTTTTGAAAGCACAGGAGCAGGCTGTCCCACTGTGCCAAAAGGTGAGCCGGCAGGGAAGACGACCGGCCTGGCTGAACAGGGAGATTTTGAAAGAAATTGGGGTAAAGAAGAGAGCCTACCAATTAGGTAAAAAAGGGCTGACTACTCAAGAAGAATTTAGGAATATAGTTAAGTTGTGTAGAAAGAAAATTAGAGGAAAAAAGGCACAACTTGAACTGAATCTCACCACCTCTGTGAAGGATAACAAAAAGTCCTTCTACAGATACATCAGTAGCAAAAGGAGGGGCAAGGAAAACCTCCACTCTTTACTGGACATGGGCAGGAATATAGTTATCAAAGATGAGGAAAAGGTTGAGGTATTTAACACCTTCTTTGTCTCAGTTTTCAACAGTAAGACAGGTTGTCCTGAGGACAGCTGGCTTCTGGAGCTTGTAGAAAGAGACAAGAATTTGAACAGCCCCCCTGTAATCCAGAAGGAAACAGTTAGTGACCTACTGAGATGCTTGGATCCCCACAAGTCTATGGGACCAGATGGGATCCACCCAAGGGTGATGAGGGAGCTGGCGGAAGAGCTCCTCAAGCCTCTCTCCATCATCTACCAACAGTCCTGGCTCACTGGGGAGGTCCCAGATGATTGGAAGTTGGAGAATGTCATACCAATCCACAAAAAGGACCGGAAGGAGGACCCAGGAAACTACAGGCCCGTCAGCCTGCCCTCAGTGCCTGGCAAGGTTAAGGAGCAGATCATCCTCAGTGCAATCACACAGCACCTACAGGATGGACAAGGGATCAGACCCAGCCAGTACGGGTTTAGGAAGGGTAGGTCCTGTCTGACCAACCTGATCTCCTTTTATGATCAGGTGACCCGCCTGGTGGATGAGGGGAAGGCTGTGGATGTGGTCTACCTGGACTTCAGCAAGGCCTTTGACACCGTCTCCCACACCATTCTTCTGAAAAAACTGGCAGCCCACGGCTTGGACAGGGGCACTCTGTGCTGGGTTAGGAACTGGCTGGAGGACCAGGCCCAGAGAGTGGTGGTGAACGGTGCTGCATCCAGTTGGTGACTGGTCACTCGTGGTGTCCCCCAGGGATCAGTGTTGGGTCCAGTTCTGTTTAATATCTTTATAGATGATTTAGATGAGGGGATTGAGTCCATCATTAGCAAATATGCAGATGACACTAAGCTGGGGGGGAGTGTCGATCAACTGGAAGGCAGGAGGGCTCTGCAGAGGGACCTGGACAGTCTGGAGAGTTGGACTGATTCCAGCAGGATGAGGTTCAACAAGGCCGAGTGCCGAGTCCTGCACTTTGGCCACAACAACCCCATGCAGTGCTACAGGTTGGGGACAAAGTGGTTGGAGAGCAGCCAGACAGAGAAGGACCTGGGAGTTTGGATTGACAAGAAACTGAACATGAGCCAGCAATGTGCCCAGGTGGCCAAGAAGGTCAATGGCATCCTGGCCTGTATCAGGAACAGTGTGGTCAGCAGTTCCAAGGAAGTGATTCTTCTCCTGTACTCAGCGCTGGTGAGACCACACCGGGAGTACTGTGTCCAGTTCTGGGCCCCTCAGTTCAGGAAGGACATTGAGGTGCTGGAGCAGGTCCAGAGGAGGGCAACTAGGCTGGTGAAGGGACTCAAGCACAAGTCCTATGAGGAGAGGCTGAAGGAACTGGGGCTGTTCAGCCTGGAGAAGAGGAGGCTCAGGGGAGATCTCATCACTCTCTACAACTACCTGAAAGGAGGTTGTAGCCAGGTGGGGGTTGGTCTCTTTTCCCAGGCAACTATCAGCAAGACAAGAGGGCATGGTCTCAAGTTGTGCCAGGGGAGGTTTAGGTTAGATATTAGAAAGAATTTCTTTACAGAGAGGGTGGTTAGATATTGGAATGGGCTGCCCAGGGAAGTAGTGGATTCTCCGTCCCTGGAGATTTTTAAAAAGAGACTGGATGTGGCACTTAGTGCCATGGTCTAGTAACCGCAGCGGTAGTGGATCAAGGGTTGGACTTGATGATCTCGAAGGTCCCTTCCAACCCAGCTGATTCTATGATTCTATTCAATGATCACTCTTGAGGAGAAAAGACAACGCAGAAAGAATTGTGCCTTGCAGAATAAACCACCTAAGGAGTCTTTCTGCTGTGCCTTTTGCAACCAGATGTGCCTGTCTCGTATTGGCCTTTTTAACCACCAGCGCACTTGTAACAAATGTGGATAGAGCCCTTCCCAAATCTTCGTTCGCGAAGCCTGGCCATGAGTGAGTGATGAGTGAGGACCAACTCAAGTGTGTGTGGGGGGGGAAAGGGACAGGTCAAATTTCATGAAGGTAGGATACTGCCCTGTTCCATATCCCAGCCCCCTCGAGCCTCATTGGGCAACCCCAGAGCAGCTGTCAGTCACTGGCAGCCTGGGAACATTGCCCCATACCACACCCCCTGGAGCCCCTAACCCAGGCTCAGAATGGCTAGCACCTAGGGGGTGAGGCCACAGGGGGACAGAGCAGATAAAAACAGCACCATGCGGCCATTGCATGGTCACGGCCCTGCCATCTCCTGAACTTCCGGTAGCTGGATCTACACTGGATCTAGGGGTGGTAGCTATAATTCTCTTTTTCTCTTTTTCTCTCTCTTTCTTTACTTCTTTTAAAGTAAAATCCCTTCAATGAGCTCATACCTTGAGACCTGGTGTCTTACAGCCTTCCCCTCTAGTTGGCAGTTTAATAGATGTGAACCAGGTTGACCCGTTTTTTTGCTCATCTGAAGGTAGTTGGATGATATTCTGTGTCCCTTGAAGCAGTAGAAAAATAGCATGGGTGCTCTTGAAACTAACAGGATTTGTAAGATGAACACCAGATAAAGAGAATCAATTATCTCAGAGACACAAAAACATCAGAGCAAGCCCTTCCACAGAACCCTCAAAGGTTCACAGCGAGACACCATCAGCAAATCACAGAATCACAAAATATTCTGAGTTGGAAGGGACCCACAAGGATCATCCAAGTCCAACTCCTGGCCCTGCACAATCTCAAGAATCATACCATGTGCCTGAGAGCATTGTCCAAATGCTTCTTGAACTCTGTCAGGATTGGTGCTGTGACCACTTCCTGGGAAGTCTGTTCCAGTTCCCAACCACCCTCTGGGTGAAGAACCTTTTCCTAATATCCAACCTAAACCTCCCCTGACATAGCTTCATGCTGTTCCCTCTGGTCACATCACTTGTCACCCCCGAGAAGAGATCAGTGTCTGCCCCTCCACTTCCCCTCATCAGGAAGCTGTAGACAGCTATGAGGTCTCCCCTCAGTCTCCTCTTCTCCAGGCTGAACAGATCAAATTACCTCAGCCGCTTCTTGCATGGTTTCCCCTCTAGGCCCTTCACAAAGCTTTCTGGCAAGAAATTAAATGGGATAAGGGACATTATTAGGGATACTACTATGGTTGTTCCCAAAGGAAAATCATAGCACTTGGAATTTGGTCCATCCCAGATAGCCTGGCCATTTCAGTGGAATTCTTATTTCCTTGATCATCCAAGACTTTTTCCCAAACTCATAAATTCCTTCCTTGTTATTACCATTTTCTGTCTGAATGTGTCTTTACAAACAAGCTGTGTCCATCTGTTTGTAGATAAGGAAATGACTAAAGAACCAATTAACTAGGAGAAGAGCAGCGAGAGCTCAGCTAACCGCAAAAGGTTGCTGCTTGACCAAGGACATACTGAACTTTCAAACTTTGCAGGCTTAAAAAGGTTCATGAATATTAACTTCTTCATCTGGCATGGACATAAAGCTAATTTTAATGATCATGTGATGTATGTTATGAAGGGAGGTACATGTTTAGGGGGAACATGTAGTAGGCAGTTCAGGAAGTCTGTACCTTCTGAGTACCTTAGCCAATGGGGAAAGGGAGAGGGCGGTATGCAGATAAGAAGAGGCTATGTCCTCCAAGTTATTGGAGAGACCCCACTGGGTATGCCTCAGTGGAGTCTCCCTTATTCATGAATAAAGTTACTTTCACAGGACTCCTCTGTCTCTTTTGTGGACACTGACCTCTAGTGATGTAATTTTCCATACAACTGGGGGCTAGTCCAGGATCCTTCCACCTTCTGGGGACAGCAGATGGTGAATGGAGCTGACAGTGCACCTCACCAAAGTTTTCAGTGATCAGCTCTCTTCATTGGTGGTCAGAACCAGACGACTGATTGGGTACCCTAGGCTGTCTGGAGACAGGCGAGTAACAGACCACAGGGGTCCGTGAAGAGGTCCGTCGGAAAGGATCACTGAAAATCTCTCTGGTTAATACAATGGGAACTTCAGGGAGTAAACATGGGAGGATGTCTAGGGAGGGCAGTAAGGGAAATGTTAGAAAGGGTCTTGACAATAGGGGTTCACAATTCCAAAATACCCCCAAATAGTCTCTTGGGGAGAATGCTGAAGTTTTGGGATAGTTTACGCATTCCCTTGAAGGTAACTAAGGAGATAATGGTAAAATATTGCTATTTTGTGTGGTCAGAATATGATCTACCAAGAGGATTTAAATGGTCCCCTTTCAGGACATATGCTGCTAGTCTTTGTCAGAATTTATTGTATTTAAATGATAATGGGAAAGGATTGTTTAAAAGGAAATGTGGAAAAATATGGTTAAAGCAAGCTGCAGTAGGAGTCTATTCAGTAAGAGAAAAAAAGGAAGAAGGAGAAGGAAAGAAAGAAAAAAACAGTAAGGATTGGGATGTTTTCCAGCACCTTCCCCTGCCTTATCTTTAAAATCTGCAAGTTGATCCAGGGTCAGATGCAGGTCCCCCGTATCCTCAGCTTCCAGAACAGGGAAATCAAGGAAACACAGCCCCCTTCGGGGATAGCAACAGTGAAGGGGAAGATGATGCCTTGGAATTCTTAATAAGATTTGTAGCAAATATGGATTTTTAGTATAGTTGTACAGTTTCTAACACTTAGAATAGCAGTTGAGAGTTACCAAACCCTGTTCTCATGCTTCATATTGAATTGTCTAAATTCTTCAGGTTTGTTTAATGTTCTTTTCAAGGAAAAGACTCTAGCCAGCACATCTTGTTTGGGACATATGCACTTGGACCAGAATAATAAGATATCATTATAGCCAAAGCAACCTTGAAGGCCCAGGAACCTTGGAGAAGCTCCAAAGACAATGCGTGCTGTGAGGAGGAGGAAGATGAGGAAGAAAGGGGTCTTGAGACCTCCGACTCAATTCCAGGGAGGCATGCCAGGGGGGCAGATCTGGGGAGGATCTGGGGTGGATAGTTCTCAGATTGGATGGATTAGTACTATAAAATTGTAGAACCCCTGGACACTCATGTGCGCCTATGCGCATGCACCTGAAAGCTTTCTTTAAAGAACTGCTCTCTACCTTATCTATGCTAATATTGTTTGGAGAATTTTTCTTCCATTTTAGACATCAGAAGGAAGACAGGATATCGTATCCCCCTCTAGGACTAGAAGGGAAACCCAGTATAAGACACCAAGAGCCCCTAGGACACAGGAGACAGGAATCCACCAGATGTCCCTATGCCAGGTTCCATTGGGGGACCAGGGTGGGGGATTTGGGTTTGTAATTGTGCCACTTACTGCTCAGGATATAAGAGGGTTGAAAAAGGAATTACCCCCGTATTTGGATGACCCCATAGAAGTGGGGGAAAAGATAGAGGAATATTTAGGAAATACAGATTATACTTGGAAGGATTGGGATTTTCTTTTAGGCATTATGTTTGGGTCACAGGAAAAGCAGATGATTTTGCAGAAAGTTCACCAGGTGTGGGAGGATGAGCACCCACAGGCAGGAGGGGCTGAAAAAAATGCACCTATGGTGGATGATGTAATCCCCCAGGTGGACCCTCAGTGGGACCCAAATAATCAGGCCAGTCTGGCCTGTCTTTGAGGTTACAGTGCCTATTTAATTAGAGCAATTAAAACAGCAGTTCCCAGAACTAACAATGTATAGAAGACTATGTCCTTAGAGTAAGAAAAGGACAAGAGTCCTTCTCATTGGCTAGAAAGGACTAGGGATGCCTTGAGGAAACAAGGAGGGCTGGACCCTGAGGGACCAGCCTTCCATACATTGCCGACGGTACAATTTGTCACT